TTTTCCCCCTACAGAGCGGAGCAGTTCACATCCTGAGCAGAATATAACTGCTATGATCTTAAAATGGGCAATGGGCAGTGCAAGGCTGCTGCTGAGTTGCGCTTCCTGTGTTAATGACTGGCTGCCCATATGCACAGCTTAGAGGGAACACTGGTAAAACGGCATTGCTAACACAAGATGGCATAAATCACATCAGAGGATGAGCAGGAGTATGAACCTGAGATGGTATGGCTAATATTGCTGGGTCCAGTGATGGTGTTGCTAGGATCTACATCAGAGCAAAGTTGGCATCTTGGTTTGTTGCAGGCCTAGGTACCAGAGTCCATGTAGTTAAGTAGTTTATCATTGCGGGTGGGAAGTTGTTTTAGGTTAGCAGGCTGTCAATAAGCAAGAAAAGGTCAGCCCCCCCCCCAGTGCCCACGTGAGGGAAGTGTCACTATCTTGCATGGGTTGTAGGTAATTAATAATACGTTTGACTTGCTTGAGTTGTGAGCTGTATGTGACCACCAGTGGTGTTATGTTGTCATTTTCTTTGGGCTTGTCTTTTAGCAAGCTGTCCCTCGGTATCATTCTGGCCTTTCCAATTATCTTTCTTACCATATCGGGAGGATATTGTAGATGCAAAAACACCTGTTGTAGATCCTTCAAGTGAGTATCTCTGTTGAGGGTAGAATCAAGTGGGTACCAGTGTTGGTCTGAATCAGCAGAACAAAGTTTGAATCCAGTGGCACCTTTAAGACCAACAAAGTTTTATTCAAGGTATAAGCTTTTGTGTGCACGCACATTTCTTCAGGTACAATGAAATGGAAGTTACCAGTCCATACATATAGGTAGAGGATGGGCAACAAATTAGCATACAGCATAATGAAGATATTTAACAGATGCAAGGACTGAACAGGAATAACAAGCTTAGGTTGTCATTTGTTGGGGTTTTAGGGGAAAACATAGTGAAAGAAATGAATATGTTAAAATTGGAGATTGATGAGCAAATGTATGCTTAACTGGAATGCTGAGAGTAATTAACTGAGACACTGCCATTATGCTGAGGGTTTGGAGTACATGCAACTATAGCATGGGGCATGGCTATAGACAATGGATTGTTTGATATGGTTGGGGTAGTAGCTGGAGGCATGTAGATATGTTTGCCAATCTGTCGGATTCTGGTATTATTTGGTGATAGTGTGTCCCTTGTGTATCTGTACTGTGGTGTCCTATGTCTTGGGTAGATTAATTCATAGTTAGATTGAAGGTGGGGTGGTTGAAAACCTGGTGAAATCCTTTGAGGGCTTCTTTGTCATGGGTCCAGACAATGAAAATATCATCAATGAATCTCAAGTAAAGGAGAGGTGCCAGTGGGTAGGAGTTCTAGATCTGCCATGAAAACGTTGGCATACTTGTAGAGCCCTCTGGGTGCCCATGTCTGTGCCATTGACTTGAAGGTATAAGTTCTTACCAAACCTGAAGTAGTTGCAGGTGAGAACAAACATGCAGAGTTTAGTGGCAAGATCTGCTGTTGGTTGTCAGGGATGATGTTTCTAATGGCTCGTAGTTCATCCTTACGGGGGCTGTTGCTGACTAGAATGCTGTTTTCTGGGAGATGGACTGCAGTTTCCTCAAGAAGTCTGTGGTATCACGGACATAGCTGAGGGTATTAATAACGTATGGTCTCAGGATTGAGTCCATATATCCTGATACTCCTATAGTGATGGTGCCTATGTTCAAGACAATGGGACATCCAGGGTTGCCAGGTTTATGTATCTTTGGCAGGAGACAGAAAGTGTCTGGTTGAGGTTCTTGGGGTGTATCCATATAATTTTGTTCCTGTATGTATGTTGGTAATGTCTTCATGTTTTTGTTGAGTTCTTGCTGGTATTCTTGTGTGGGGTCTGAGGACAGCTGCTTGTAGAAACTGGCGCTTTTGAGTTGTCACTCAGCTTCTCCTGTATAGTTTGTTTTGTCCATTATGACGGCTCCTCCCTTGTCAACTTGTTTTATCATAATATCTGGATTGTTTTTCAGGCTGTTTTGGCATTCTTCTCTGCCACACGTTTTGTTAATCTTTAAGGTGCTACTGGACTCTTGCTCTTTTCTACAGATGTAGTAGACAGTTATTCTATTTATGGCTTGACTTACCATTATGTGAACACATATGAGTTTTTTTTGATGCTGTCAAGTTGCAGCTGACTTATGGTGATCCCATAAGGTTTTTAAGGCATGAGACATTCACAGGTGGTTTGCAATTGCCTGTCTCTGCACAGCAACTCTGAACTTTCTTGGTGAGCTCCCATCTACACAGTAGCTTGTGCTGACCCTGCTCAGCTTCTGAGAGCTGACAAGATCGAGATAGTCTGGGCTATCTGGGTCAGGGCATATATGACTACAGAGGAAGTCAACTGAAACTACAGTGGAAAAAGTTAACTGCTGCTGGCCTTGGCCCCATTAAGCCATTCTGCCCAGACACCATTTTTAAGACTATTACTGTGAAAGGGCTTGCATGAAATCTGTGACTACATCCAATATACTTCTAGAGTGTATTGCCAGATTTAACATGCAGCACCCATGTGTAAAAACCTGTAGGCATTCACATACTCAGTATCAGAAAGAAAATCCATGGTGGTTGACCTAAAGAAACTGCACCTATTTTTGCCTTCAGTACCGCCAAAGTCATCATACTTGAATGACACAGAGGCAATAGTCATACTGGCAAAGGTTTGTTTGACATGCATCCCACTGGATGACAGGCATTACCTATCAACAATGCTGTTCTGCTGTTTACATATGACAAATAATTCAATCTCTATCCAAGAAAACGTGGACACAAATCAAACATCAGAAATGGTAACATTTGGAAGAAAGTGGCAGAACATTTCAGCTTCTAATACATTCTGCAGTAGACCTCAAGTCACAAAAAGATTCCTAATGGAAATTCCAACATGATCTGAACTAAAATGCTTTAGCAAATTTTATTTCATTTAATTTATATATAATTTAACACCTCCAATGGAAAAGAAGTTCACAGTCCTGATTAAACAATACAGCCAGAAACAGTCAGAAACTGCTGTCATGAATGGATCGCTCTGTTCTCATCTTGTACATATTTACAGTCTGCATAGAAATATTATAGATCAACAGCTACCCTTCATATTTCATTAGCCTTTGGCTTCGTTTACTTTTTTTCTGTTCTGCATATGCATGCATGTAGATGCAAACTCCTCCCTCCATGCACACACCAGGTGAGAATAAACTCTTAATTTATCTGACAAAGCTAGAATGTCTTTCAAGTGTCACAAGACTCAGTTGTTTTTGTTGCAATGGACTGACACATTTATCCCTCTGATGCTTGAGTGGTTGATTTCCCAGCAGAGTACATCAGTTTCCAAGGAGTGATTATAGTCTTACTTTCTTATAATCAACTGCATGTTAAGTCATTTTCAAGAAAAAAACACAGGAGATTGATTATATATACTGTAATGGGTAAGATGCCTAGATCCTTGGAGAATGGCAAACTTCACAAAAATTAGTCATTTTTCTAAGGACAAGGGTGTGATTTTTTAAAAAACCCAAATTGCTACTTGTAATTAGTGCGAGAGAAAAACAGAGGAGCAAAGAATCTAAATACCTCCAGCAGGTGAGCTCAAAAAACCCTTACAACACCAAATCCTGGAAACTGCACATTGGGTCCCATATGCTGCTGTGAGATTCCTCCATCCTTTTCACTTAGCTGGGGACTCGGGGCTCTTTTTGTAGCAGGTACTCATTTGCATATTAGGCAACACACACCCTAATGTAGCCAATCCTCCAAGAGCTTACAGTAGCTCCTGTAAGAAGAGCTCTCTAGGCTCTTGGAGGATTGGCTACATTAGGGGTATGTGGCCTAATATGCAAAGGAGTACCTGCTACAAAAAGAGCCCTTTTACAAATATGAATACCAAGGATTCCAATGCAGATTTGCTTGCAAGGTAGAGGAAAGAAAATATTTAGCAGTACTATTGGGGCAGTTTCAAATGCTATGTACCTAGCAGCTTCCATATCCAAATACCAAGTGAACCTGAGGTGTTTTCTACTGACAAACCACAGGAACCACGAACAAATCACAGCTCCCTGAAGCACACAGGGTAGTTGAGGAACTAATGATTTACACTGCCCTTAGAAGCTATGAAATCAAGTACTTCAGAAGCACCTAGGTCAGTGATATGGGCATGCTTCACTAGCTTGCTTTTTTCCATGAAAAGCTGTTCTATGGATAATTACGGGAGGATTTTGAACTTAATTAGAAAGCCCTAGCAGCAAAGGGAGATGATCACTGAAATACTGTGAGACTCATAAAGGCTCACAGCAGAGCATAAAGATTCTATTGGAAGTCTAAAAGATACTTTCCCTTTACTCCAAGATAACTTCAGAGTATAAGAACATGTAGGTTCTATAATGTATCAAGGATAATGTATTTTTATGTCATGAGTACGTGCACTGGGCACTTCTGGCTTGGAGAGAAGCAATCTTTTTTCCTATTCATCGTCTTACCTCTCCTGCATTAATCAGAGGATTTTTTCTTTTATTTATTTTGAAGTGGTGAATTTGTGCCATGCACTGTTTCATTTTAGATTTTGTCTTAAACCCATTTGCTAATTTATTTTTGCACTGACCAAGTGTATTCCTACACAATGCTTGCGACGTCTTTACTGTCACTTTACAACTCCATCTCAAGATCCCCCTCCTTTTTTGGCAAGATGGATCAGACTAATCCATGGATGCAATGGTTTATGGGTGCAAAAATAAAAAAAAAACATAGGAATCCATAATTCAAAGTTGCAGCAAAGAGGAGATATCATGCAAGTGGGCCCCCAGTGATAAACACCACTGAGATGAAATCCAGAACATACCCCAGAAAAAACAGCAGGTGTGGACACACTCTTCACAACTCTGTGGGTTACAAGACATGAAAACAGACTTTATAGAGGTCAGCAAACTTTGGATGGCAAGCTCCCCAAAACTGTACTCACATGAATTCTCCCATCTTTGATAGCTGGGCCATCCTCAGCAAGTCGGAGAATGAACAACCCCATGTTATACTCCTTCCCTCCACGAAGGCTGAATCCAAAGCCTCGGGGACCTCGCTCTAACTCTACAGGATAACATCCAGGACTCTATGCAGGAAACAAGCAGGGAGTATAATTACTATTCACCGCCATGTTGCCCCTGGGGAGAAACTGAGAGTGGGCTTACTGTCTCCAGTCAGTGCAGCACCGACAATGGGATCTACCAGTTCTGTTATTCCTTTTCCCCCCACCATGAAAGCACTGGAAGAGAAAGAAGCCTGAGGCTCTCTGAGGATTGCTCCCCAGGCACAATCCCAGGGAAAATGTACTCTCTGAACAGGGCCTTCGTGAAATATGAATAAAAAATTGTAAATGAACGAGGCTTATTTCAGAGCATGCCATTTTTTTTCTTTGACTCAGAGCCAATTTACAAAAAGCACATGGCACAGCATTCTGAGTGAGGGCAGATTTAGATTTTATTTCTTCATAAAGAGGCTGCTGAAAATGGGACTGCATATTGTGGGTGTAACATTTACAAGTCAGTTTACTGGAGCATCTGTACACCTGGGTCCAGCCACTATAGCAACACAGAGTATAGTTTAACATGTATTTAATGTGTATTTCAACATAAAAATGATATGGCTTGTTTTACTCTGGTATGTAGTTTAACGGTTCTCTTTTGAGTATATCTTTATGAAAGAACATCTACTGGTCTTTTCAAATTTAGAAGAGCACTAGGAATTGTTAACAACTTGTTTATTAAATCCCTTAACAATTTGTACATTAATTTTAGATGGGGATTAAACTGATTGCTCTTTTAAATTTAAATAGACCAACTAATATTCTTCCAAAAATAATACAAAAATTTGCCATTCTCAGGTCCTTAAGAACCAAAGCCCATTCTCAAAACTCTGTTGATTGGAAGCCCTCAGTAAATATGACCTGTTTCCTTTTAGTAACTTAAACAAGTTTGGAATTCTGCGGCTTCAGATGGAGAAGTATTATGAATGCCTGAAATTCGTAAGGATCGCTTCATCTGAACAATGGCCCGGGAGAACAGATATGTGTAATCTGAATTTCAGGTGACAATTCAAAATGTTTATGAAAAATTGCCATTGTTTCTTTTTCAGGTACAGTGTAACAAGGTCTAGGGAAGAGTTACAACATTCTTGAGAACTAGATATTTGATTATGTGTATGCACACGAAAACTTATACCCAGAATTAAACTTCATTGGTCTTAAAGGTGCCACTGGACTCAAACTTTGTTCTAGATATTTACAAGTGAGTGACCCACAAGGACTTGTGCGGGGTTTTTCTTGCTCCTTTCTCATCTTCCCACCCAAAAGACAGCCTAGCTTTATCTGCCCCCTCCCACAGAAGCCTCTCCCCAGGATAAATATGGCCCAATTGTGTGGTGGCAGCTGCTGGGCCCAGTTACTTGGTGGGGAACAAGCAAGTACTTGCAGGGGGTATACCATATTCCCTTCCTCACAACATTTCTTCTTTCCCTTCTCCTGGCAACCCCCATATCCTTACTTTCCCCTGTTTCCTTCTTTCCTCCCCACGCTCTATCCAACCAAACTTTTACCTGCCTCCATCTTCCACAATATTTATTTACTTCACATTGGGGACCCACAGCCATTTATATCACTCTCCTTACAACAGTCCTCTGAGGTAAGTTAGGCTGAGAATGAATAAGTGGCCCAAAGTCACCCAGAGTGCTTCCATGGCAAAGTGGTGATTTATACCTGGGTCTCCCAGATCCTAGTCTGAAACTCTAACCACACTGGCTTTCATGAGGTGGCTGCTGTTGAACAGCAGGTAAACAGCATTGGTTGAGTCATATAAGATGTGTGGTATCAAATCACTCAGTGGCTGTGTCCAGGCCTAGCCCTAATGAGTCCTCCCTTAAAGACCAAAACAGCCCTGGAAAGGACCCTCCCCCTTTCCCTTATTGCTAGAAGCCAAGGCCTGCAGGCTGACAATACTGTTTTGGCTACCTAGCAACCTCCACAATGGCTGATGAGAGGGCATTAGTTTCTTAAAGCTAAAGGCACTGCTCCTATTATTTTTTGTGGGCGGCTAAACCCCCATGGGTTTTTAAAAGTTTCATATTTTTCTGCAAACCTGTAGCTTTTCTCATGTTTGCAAAAAGATCTGTCTTATTTGCTCATGGCTTCAGTCTCTGGATTTAAGTATCCACAGATTGGGCCACTTCCTCAGCAGACTACCAGGCATTCCCAGAATGCTCCCATTTCACAACCATGCATTCATCCTATCACATGAAGAGCTAGTTGCTATTCAGCTTTTCTTCTCCCCAGCCCACCAAAACAGAACATACCCACTCAAATGAAGGACAGAAATCTCTCCTTAGCCTTCCCTCCTTTTTCAAAGCTAAAATGGAAACATTTATTCCAAATAAAATCAGCCCCTGAACATGTTTAATGGGGTCCCTGTACAGATGATATTAATTTGAAAGCCTCAACCTAGAATTAAATCTAGTACAAATTTAGCAGCTGCCTGCTTTAATTTACAGTTTCAGACATGTGCTGGATATATAGCTAGATGCACATGAAGTGAGTGTGGTATATTGGAAGGAACATACCCAGCTCAAAGAAAGCAGGCGTTAATTTTGTTAGGAACAGGGTTTTTTTTGCAGGGGGTGTAAATTGTACTACATAAACCCATACTTGCAAAAAAAAAAAAGTAACTTGAACAAAGTCAGTTTAACTAAACAGAAAAGAAAAAAATTCTATACCTGAGAATGTTTGCTTCCAATGGTAGATGCTACACTGATTTCTGATGGTGAGACTGAGAAATGCTTGTAGCAGTTGCTTTGTTCTTTTCCAGGATCAGCTTCTGTAGTAGTCCTGAAATAGATACAATAGGGGTAGTATCTGAGATGCCACTGAGCTCTACCTATACAAAGTTGGGGGTGAATTTCCAGGATTGCTTGCCAGAATTTGTAGACATGCACAATCAATTGTCCAGATTATCTTCTTCATGGAGACATCATTTCTATTTATAAAATTAAACTGGCCCTAGAGATCATTATGTGAGGCAATGGGCCCCAAATAAAAGAGGCGATGGGCCCACTGAAAATGGAGAAACTCTGACAGAGGACAGAGAGAAAGCAGAAAGGCTCAATGCCTATTTTGCCTCAGTTTTTTCCCTGAAGAAGAGAACAGGCTCATCTAGAGACAGCATCTGGGTTGCTAGTTGACATGGACTGAGAGGTAGTTGAGAAGCACCTGGCTGCATTGAATGAGTATAAATCCCTTGGCCAGATGGTATGAGCCCAAGAGTGCTCAAAGAACTTTCTAGAGAGCTTGCAGAACCTTTGTCCATTATCTTCCAGATCTCTTGGAGGATGGGAAATGTGCCACAAGACTGGAGGAGGGCAGATGTTATCCCAATTTTCAAAAAACGGAGGAGGGATGACCCAGGAAACTACAGGCCCAGATTCTAAAGGGATCACTCTGTGAGCATTTAAAGGACAACTTGGTAATCCACAGAAACTAGCATGGATTTGTCCCCAACAGGTCCTGCCAGACCAACCTCATTACCTTCTTTGATCGAGTGACAAGCTTACTGGATCGAGGGAATGCTGTTGATGTTGTTTACATGGATTTCAGTAAAGCTTTTGACAGGGTTCCCCATGATGTTCTGATGGGTAAACTAGAGGACTGGACTCTAGGATAGTTAGGTGGATGAGGTTGGAGAACCGCACTCAAGAGAGTAATTGTTGATGGCATTTCATCTGAATGGAGGGAGGTGTCCAGTAGGGGGCCACAGGGCTCAGTTTTGGGCCTGGTACTTTTCAATATTTTTATAAATGATCTGGATGAGGGTGTGGAGGGACTACTCATTAAATTTGCAGATGACACCAAGTTGGAAGGAGCAGCAAACACACTAGAAGATAGAGATAGAATTCAACAAGATCTGAATACACTGGAAAAGTGGGCAGATGTGAACAAGATGCAATTTAACAAGGATAAGTGCTGAGTTCTACATCTGGGTAACAAAAATGAGGAACACGCATACTGGATGGGGGATACA